CTCTCTCTCTCTCTCTCTCTCTCGATATAGGTTTAATGTATCATCTACACATTTCAATCAACATTATTAACATCTAATTTTGCTATAAACATCAAAATTGTTAAATTGTTAATCAATTTAACTCGCGATAATACTGCGATAGTTTTGAGTTTGCGTTCTAAGTCTGAACAAATTTCGGCGCGGATTAAGAATCTACATTCGTAGTATATAAATTCATATATAATTGTATTCGAAGAATCCAAGACACCGCTTGACCGTTACGGCTTGTTATTATTAGTATTTTGTTTGAAACTTTCACGGTTCAATGAGATTTAATATTTGAAAATACATAGTGCTAGCAGTCGACTACAATGGACGTAGCTGCGGTGAGATATATGTCGGAAGATTCGAAATCCGTGTTCAGCCAAATTTCGGATCCGAATCTCGGATTTCAAATCCGAAATCCGAGATTCGGATCCAAAATCCGAGATTCGGATCCGAAAGATCCGGATACCCGGTTCGATCGGATATTTTATCTCGGATCTATCACTATCCGGATATCCGGATACCTGGATATCCGGAGATTCGGGCTAAATCGTCAACACTAATCTGAAGATTCATTTGGGCCTTACATTTACTATTTATGCTTCCTTTTGGAAGGAATTTTTCAAAACCCTTCTCAGAGTTTGGACATTTCACTTCGACAATATATTCCTGTGATATTGCATCCGGTGAGGCTCCAAGTGTAGGGTGTTCCGGTGTTAACATCAAACCACATTTTGTCAACTGCAGTCCTGTTGATTTTCTTACTTCATGGATCACCTGCTCTTCTAGATTTATACCTCGCTGCATCGTTTCTGTATGAAACGACCTTTGCTACGCCGATGACTTGTTGGACGTAAGAACCATTCGATGTTTGACAATGGGCAGCTTCATAAATCTTTGATGCTGTGATCCTACCGTACCTCAGTTCATACCATAAACTGCAGTTACTTTGGTCTCTTGTTGCCTTTTCAACTTCACAGCAGTACTCTATTGGTATTTCCGTTTTTGCTAATTGCAGAAAATCCTCAGCTGAGTTGCCTCTTGTTTTGCAGAAATCTATCAGTAGTTAGTGGATCGACAGCGTGAACAGTTTTCTGCTTTTTAATATAAAATTATGCCTGGATATCTGGCTGTCCAACTGCTTTTCTTCAGCTATTTTTAGCACATCCTTCAAAAAAAGTTCACTTTTGATGTTTGCTAATTTTTTTGGATTCTGCTTCTTCGCAATAAGGTGTTTTGTTTTTATATATTTCTCTGAAGTTCCTACTTTGGAAAGCCGAGGTTTTCGCCAATAACATGACACTTCTGTAGGTGATGGATTTTCAGTCCGACGATGAATCCACATTAAAAATGCAACCGCATGCTTACATCCTCCTGTAAAATAATAATGCATACTTCAGTACAGAATAAAATATGCATGAATAAATATTACTGATCATTTAAAACATTTTTTCATTTTGACATCTCTTATAAACATAACCTCATCTTGCCATATGTTAATCTTGGCGATGAGAAAAAACTGAATTACAGATGTCAGGAATAATTTCTTTATTAAACTTTACTTATCGGTATAGTTTGTATTGATATTCATGAAATAACTATTTTAAGTAAACTCCCAGCAAACAAAAAACAATTGCGAGGAATTAAAATTTCAATTCCAATCAATTTTTTTTAATTCCATTATTGAACACTTCGGAATATAGAGGAATTAAAATAGTCCTACGGTGGATGTTGCGGGATTGAAAGTAACCTCTTTCTGTTTCGGAGAATCCAAAGGAATTAAAATTTGTTCTAGTCAATCTCGATATAGGAATACAAACTACAACCATAACCTGCTTATAAATTTCCAATTCCAGATTGTCGCTTAATGGGATTCGAGACATATGCTCGTTAATTCTTTTTGATTCCTTTTAATTTCTCGCAATTCCTTTCTGTTTAAAATACCGTTGCGGTAATTCAGTTTTGCACAACACTATTGAAAGCAGTGGTAAGTTCTCACTGAGGACATTTGCCGTTAACCAGTCGAAAAGAAATCAAACTCACCACTCGATGCAGCACATTCATGGCACTCAATGCTTTGCACAGACTCATCTTCTTCATTTACAATGATTGTAACACTATATAATTTCTGTCGGACCTTATGTTCAGGACAGATATCCGCTTTTATTATGCACTGATTGTTGTTCCTTATGAGCCGAACATACCCTACTGCGTTGTCTCCATAGGTTTCGCGTGAAGATCTATAAATAAATTATGCTATGATCATGTACTTGTTTCAGCTTTATTCATAAATATACATATATCATAATTAATCAACTCATTGTGCGTTTTTGGTGTTGGGCGCAAATAAAGAAGCGGATTTGTGTATATTATACTGTATCAGAATTTATTTCTAATAACAAAAACAGTACTGAATGTACGACAAGTAAAAAGTAACGGAAAACCTTGAGTCTTATAGCGTTTTCTCTTGGCTGCACCAGTGTAGGGTGATTGCACCAGTTCATTCTTTTTCCTTTTCCCTTCTCCTGGAGAGAAAAGGAAGAAAGATGAACTAGTGCAAAAGTACAGCTGAGTGTTGCACTGGTGCAGCCAAGAGAAAACGCTATTAAACTACATGAATACATAGATGGAATAAAAGCAAAAATTCCTAAAATAAAAGTGTTACCAATCTTAAACCATTAACTAGTTATTTGATTAGATACGCTTACATAAACTCAACACCCTCATTTAATCAAATAACAAAGAAACTCTGATAATTCTTAAAATTATAACGCTTAACTTAATATATTTTAATATATAAATAGAATTACAATGGTTTTAATCCTATTTGTTTAACACAAAAAATATGCTTCGGTTTTGGTAGAGCCTTAGTTAACATATCCGCTGGTATTTTATCTGTTGACATATATTCTATCTTTACCTCATTACGCTCTACCAACTCTCTTATGTAATGATACTTAATAGCTATGTAT